AACAAAAAGGACTGGGGTATGGCTCAGTAGCACAGTGTCTGCCCAGCAGGCACAAGGCCTGGGCTCCATCCCTAGCACAGCAAAGGAGGAAAGGAAAGGTCTGGGCTGAGAATGTAGCTCAGTGGTGGAAAACAAGAGGCTAGCCACACAAGGAGGCACACAGCTGTAACCCCAGCAATTCAGGAGACTGAGGCAAACTGGAGTCCAGACTGGGCAATTCAGTGAGGCCCTGTCTCAAAACAAAATAAATAAAAAGGGCTAAGAATGCAGTAGAGTACCTGCCTAGCACCTAAAGGCTCTGGGTCTGCCAAAAATCAAAGAAGAGCCATGAAACAAAAATTTAAAGCAAGAAAAATGGGGCATTTTGTTCTGCACTCAGAAGAAATGCAGCTAGCATGATTTTTATTTCTGAACTTCAACAACTCCTTGGAACAAAAAGGAAAAAAAAAAAAATCAATGAAACTGTTGTGGACTCCATAAAACCTTAAATACAAAAAGATGGATCCCAGCCAGGCACGGTGGCCCGTAATCTGTGATCCCAGCTACTGGTAGACTTGAGGCAGGAGGATGGAAAGTTCCAGGCAATGCTGTCTTTTAAATATAGAAAGGGGGGCTGGGGTTGTGCCTCAGTGGTACAGCGCACGCCTAGCACATTTTAGGCCCTGGGTTCGATCCTGAGCTCCACACAGATAAATAAAATAAAGATATTGTATTCAACTACAACTAAAAAAAAACAAATATTAAAAAGGGGGGTGGAGGGGGGTGACTGGGAATGTGGCTCAGTGGTTAAGTGATCCTGAGTTCAATCTCTTGTACCAAAAAATAAATAAATATAGAAAGGGAAACTGAGCCAAGATGGTTCACAGGTAAGCACAGCATCAGGCTTTCAGCTCCTCAGTACTTAACACAAGGTACTCACTGTCCCACTGCGCAGCTTGACAATGGAGAGGTGGTGAGGGAGAGGGGGTGATCTCACTGTGTAAGGCAGAAAATCAGTCATCAACAAACAACCCAGAGTATCCGGTCCAGAGATGAGCCATCAGACATGTCAGCTGACAGCCACTTCAGTAATTAAGATTAAATGACAGTTCAGTTCCTCAGTGGCACTGGCCAGTTTCAGTGTTCAGAAGCCACATGTACCTATATATAGAACACTCTCGTCACCACAAGAAGCTCTATTGGACTACTACAGAGATTAAACTTTATCAAATACATTTATAAAAATCCTCATGACCCGAGAGCCATCGTGGTGGCAGTTGTCGTGAAAGGATCAGTCAAACAAGGGCATACAAGCCAGCAGAGTCCAGCCCAGCTCCCATGAATTCTTCCCATAAAACCTCCAGGGATTCCTGGTCCAAGAGTGCACCTACRGGAAAAAGACCTGGTGGGCAGG